CTCTCTCTCTCTCTCTCTCTCTCTCTCTCTCTCTCTCTCTCTAAACGACAACCTCCTTGTCAGCAGCAGCCTTCGGCCCGTCGTCGCACGCACCGCCACGTCGGACAATCAAATTACTACAGTGAAAAAAAAACTCAATCAAGAAGCTGTTGATCTTAATTAGATGGATGATCATCGTACGGCGACGGCTTTGGAAATCGGAATTGATTGGCTTGCCTTGCCCTGCGGTGCGCGCCGTGCGGCAGAGAAACGATTCGTCGAAGATGCACTCAGATCTCTTGTCGCAGTCTTTTGCTCCTCCTGCTTGTCCTCTCTAATAAGGAGCTTTCTACCAATTGCCAATCTCCGCCGGCAGTGTGTGCAAATCAAATGTCCTTGACCAAAATATAAGAGAAAAAAAAAACATGCAGCAACCCACTATACAAGTAACCACAGGGTGAGCCTCTAATTCCCGGCCTGGTAAGCTCTTCTCTACCCGCCAGTCAGTCTCCTCCACTCCCTCCCTCCTTTATTTACAACCCGCGCACTCTTCAAGCTTCGACCGAACAGTCTCTCTGCCTGGCAGGCTGGCACACACAATGCCATCTTCCAGAGAACGAGAGATGGAAAGCCGTGAGCGCTCCGGTCGTCGTACAACAGCGGAAACTGGAACGTCACGCTGCGCAAGATCGCACGCCCTGCTGCTGACATTCACGGTGGTGCAACCGACGAAAGCGACAACGACGACGGGATCGCGATGCTGCCCAGCTTCGTTGGAATCAATCCTGGGGCCCGCGATTGCGGCGACATTCAGGTAATCGGACCCGATCCCGACTACCAAGGAAATTTAAAAGAGAAACGTTGTGTCAGTGTGTTGTACATGCTGACGCATCACCATAGCTCAGAAACGACCACACACTCCCCGAAAGAAAACGAAGGCAGAAGAAAGAAGCAATATACCTGTGACGCGATCGAATCGAGAATCGGGACGCCAAAGCCTGCCCTCGCTAGTAGTACGGTGCGCGATTGGGTGATCGCGGTTTCCTTGGACGTCGCGTACCGGTAGGTGTCGTTGTTAGAGGACGAATCAAACCCATGCCCATGCCCAGGTTCATCTTCGAAAACGACGTATCGGTAGGCATGGAGCTGTCTGGCCACGTGGCATACCCAGGCTCGTCGCTATCCGATGAATGCCAGCTGGAAGTGGAAGAGTCTGTGTCCATGGGAGAGCTGATGATGTCCTCCATAGCCGTCGATCCCGAGGTCAGCGAGTTATCATACCCAGACTCGTTCGTCGTCGTACGCCCTGCTGGCCTCAGCAGCTGGGTCGCTGGCGATGTCTTCGATCTGCCATCTGCGCCGCAGCCCTGCGGTCTGAGATCCCAATTGCGGATCATCTTACACTCGATGGAGCAGAACCGAAAGGGTAGCGGAGCAATGCCACGACCACAGCCTTCGCACTGGTCATTTTGGCCCTTGCCCAGTCTTTCTTGAGGACGACGCTCTAAAAAGATGACCTTGGCAGAGTTGATGGTGTACGGAAGAACGGCGGTCAAGTCTAACAGACCTTGAAGCTCTGCAAGGCGGACAACAAATCGAAGGGACGATTTGCGAATCTGCAGGATTCTGTGGCCGGAAGCGTGCTCCTTGCGGCAAATGTTGCAGAGGATGAACTCCCCCTCCCCCTCCCCCTCGCAATAACCACCTCGGAGTCTGTCCGCAAAACTGCCCCTTCTGCTGCTGCAGTCGACGCAGAAAAACTTGAGCTTGGGCTCTCCGCTGTGCTCCACCACTCCCTCGTGTTTCTCGCACTGCCCGAAAAAGCTCTTTGAACATGCATGCAGAATGTATGGCACCCATCCCGGCCATAACACATCCTGCCTGTACGACGACGATTGGTACATTGCCATGAACGCCATATTCTCTCTCTCAGACTCTCTCTCTCTCTCTCTCTCTCTCTCTCTCTCTCTCTCTCTCTCTCTCTCTCTCTCTCTCTCTCTCTCTCTCACTCGCTCGCTCGCTCGCTCTCTCTTCTGGGGCACCTTACAGCAAGATGACTTGCACTGTACCACCCGCTAGCTATGGACTGGCGTCTTGACCGGTCAAAATGGCCCCATTGTTGGTGATAGATAGCTCTGACGCCTGTGACACTCTTCTTTGTCGTTTCAATACTTCGCTCATCAAACACCTCGGCTCGAGTCTCTTACCAGATAAGATAGACGCCCGAGACGCACGCAAGCCACTGCAAGAACAGGCCACATGGTGTCAATCAATCCAGAGTCAGTATCAGCATCCTCTATGGTTATCAACCCCTGTTCTGTGTGGACGCAATCGACAGACAAAAGGATCAAAGATGATCTCTCTCTCTCTCTCTCTCTCTCTCTCTCTCTCTCTCTGTGTGTGTGTGTGTGTGTGTGTGTGTGTGTGTGTGTGTGTGACACAAGCACACTCGCACATGGGAACACACCTGCACACACACCTGGACACACACA